GTGTGCCTACTGAATCAATCCAGGAGTTTCTCTGCTTCGCTATCCTTCTCCATGGAAGTTATGTAAGTTCCCACCTGGCTGAAATATTGTGACTTATTGTCCTGGGATAAGGTGAGGGCTCTCTAGCCTTCCTGTTACATCATGTACTCTTCGACCATTGCTAAGATGTGGCTTGTAACACTTGATCTTTCACATTCATTTCTGACCCTGCTGCATCTGCTGTGGTTATCTGAGACCCAAGCCTAGACCCCAGATAAAACTTGACATCACCTTAGCCTAACAAGCAAAGCCAATTATCTCCTTCTGTGCTCTTCCAAGAGGGCTGACGAATTCTTGCCAGCCTTTTCCATGATACAGGGAGGTGCTTACATTGATGCCCTGCCTCTCAAGTACCCCCTTCAGTTTTGGTTGGACCTGAATCACTTCCCAAAGGCCTGCAGTCTCCTAGGCTATCCTCTGATAGGCCAGGTCTCCTAGGACCTGTGGTTGCTGTCACTGTTTACATAATCCATCCTGAACAGTGGATTCATTCTAAAGTACCAACCAGTTATTCCTGGCTCCTGATTCTTCCTTCCTACCCTCTGGATGCACCTTTGTCTCTTGGGGGCAGGAAGCTGCTCCTGGATCATTACTTAAGAAACGCTCCTTTACAGTTCATGCTATAAACATTCTGCTATGAGCCCTCCATCATTGTCAGGATTTGGAGCTTAATACAATTTTTTTCTATAAAAAATTCCAGCTCATACTGTAGCAAGACTTGCACTTGAGACTCTTCTGCTATTTTCAGCAATGTCAGATTCGGTGTGGGAATTTTAGTAATAATTTCTTTCTGGCAGTTTCTGGTCACCCCAGGGGACAGTACCTATGGAAGATAGTTTTGGTTTTCTTGAGGATTTCTAGTAAGTGAAAATTTCCCTCTTGTCATTCGTATTTTATTCTATGTCTTGTTTCCATAAAAGTCATCATAAAATAGACCACTTAGTCATTTTGGGTTTTTTTCTTTCTTTCTTTCTTTCTTTCTTTCTTTTTTAACAGGCATTGCTTGCTACATTTATTACTTGTCAACGTTACTTAAGATAAGAATTGTATCCCTGTGAAAGACAAAACTTGGTAATTAAAGAGATTATTTTATTCCGGCAAACTATTCATTAATGAAGAGCAAGAACACCTGGGGTGTAGAAAGGCGGGTAAACAAGAGGGCTGTGAAGAAGGATAGGCAGGGACACTCAGAGATTTGGAGAAAAGGGTGGAGGGCATTCTTACTGTGGAATATGTCAGGCAGGGTGGTTCCTGGTGGTTAGCCATTTCCCAGAATTATCAGTAAAGGATTAAAATTTAACATAGTTAGTTCCCCTTTTTGTTCAAGAGGAATAATATTCTTTTTTGTTCAGTAATCCCATGATTACTCAGAAGGTTTAAAAAAAAAAAAAAAAAAAAAAGAAGCTAACAACAGGAACTACAACAAAACCCTTTACAAACTTTTACTAAATCAGACAGGGTAAACACAGGCTCTTTTTGAAAATCTTAAAAATAAACCCTTCAACCCTTAGCTAACTTTGACCATAGTAAATAAATTTCTCTTTTTTGGGGGGTGAACTTCCTACATCTCTTCAGGCTTTGTCTTTCACAACAATGGTCAGTTATTTGTCCTCAGGTGAAAATGATTCTCACACTAGTATTTTTCAGCAGACAAGCTGAGCTCATGAATATACAACTCACGACTTCCTGCAGCCACATGCTCCTTGTGGAACAACTTTGCAGAGTGGTAAAAATCAGCATGTTCATTAACAGGCCCAAGCATATAGTCTCCAAGTAACAGAAACTAAGAGGCAAAATATAGATAAACTTAAGACCTTAAGACTTTACTTTGTTTCAGTACTCTGTCTTACTTGGAAATGATTTAGGTATTCAATAAATATCTGTCAATTAACTAACTTTAGTGTAAATCTGAGGTTTTAAGTTGCCTAAAGATCTTGGAAATTATCTTCAAGCTGACATACTATAAAACATAATTACTATTGATATAAAGTTTGTCATTATAATAATTTATTTGGTTAAACACAAATTTATATTTTTCATAATTTTAAACATTAATCTTAAACATTAGTAATATAAGTTTAATAAATCAGTAAATCTGTATACATTTGCACAGACTGTTCCCAAGAAGAATAAAAATCTATGTATATATTACACTTAACCCTGATAAATCAGAGAAGACATAGTTGTTTTTATTAAAACCAAAGATATTAAACTAGTCTTGTTTGCCAAAGCTTTATCTAAATTATGTGAACTTGAATTCCTAAATCATATCCAAGTTACTTTCTGTAAAAATAAGTTTTGAATCAAGACATTGAAAGTAAGATTCAATTTTCACTCCCCCCGGCCCCACCTCTTTTTATGGAGAACAAGTTCTCTCTGTATTGCTCAGGCAGGTCTTGAACTCCTGGGCTCAAGCTATCTTCCTGCCTCTGCCTCCCTAAGAGCTGGAATGATAGGTGTGAGCCACCATGCCCGGCTAGATTCAATTTTCTTAATTTCTGGAAATATTATAAATATTCAATTTATATAAGTATTTACTAATCTCTAAAATAATAAGAATAGAAAACCATTAAGAGATTTTATAATCTAATGATTAATACTGTCCTAAGATACAGAAATATTACACAATGAGCGGTAAAGACCTTTCTGAATTACAAATGCATATGCAGGTAGGCATAGAGAGAGCTTACAGCTTCAATTCTGCAATTTTAGCTATGGGTCAAGTATAAATATGTAATTACAAAACTCATTGGTTCATATCAAAAAGCTGTTCTGTTCACAGCAGGTATGAATCCTTAATTTATTTGAGCTCAGTATGGACAGGTAGACAAACAGAAGAGACTAACACACCAGATTGTCAACTCTCATCTAAGAGAGACAGACTTCTTTAAAATCATTAATCTGTTACAGAGATCACCAAATGGTCAGACCACAAACCCAAAAGAAGCCACCATCAGGCCAGGTGTAGTGGGCTCATGTCTTTAATTCCAGCACTTCGGGAGGCTGAAGTAGGTGGATTGCCTGAGGTCAAGAGTTTGAAACCAGCCTGGCCAGCATGGTGAAACCCTGTCCGTACTGAAAGTACAAAAATTAGCTGGGCATGGTGGCACATGCTTGTAATCCCAGCCAATTGGGAGGCTGAGACAGAAGAATCACTTGAACTCTAGAGGTGTAGGTTGCAGTGAGCCAAGATTGTACCATAGCCCTCCAGCCTGGGTGACAAAAGCAAAACTCCATCTCAGAAAAAAAAAAAAAAAAAAAAAAAAAAAAAAAAAGGAGAAAGAAAAGAAAAAAAAAAAGCCACAATTGGAAATCAAATGAGTTCTCACAAGGAATCAAAGTCAAGTCCCCACCATGCTGCCAATGGGCATGGGTCCCCAGAGTGCATGAGTTGAGAGCCCAGCATGAGTTGAGAGTCAGAACCATCCCTGGTCCTCAGAGCACCCATCAAGAATGGAGCACAAAGGGCTCCAACAGGCCTCCTTGCCTGGGTGGAACAGACGGAGATCTGAAAGCAAGATGTGATCCTATCCAAGTCATGGCACCAAAGCTGTGAAAGACAAATGCTATAAAAAGATAAGGATATGATTTTATTCAGGCTCTTGCAATTGGGAGAACATTCATGAATGTGGAACATCTCAAAGAAGAGGGAGAAATCCTGGAGTTTTGAACAGGAAGTCATGAGAAAGGATGGACTGGAAGTCTTATTGGATTTACAAGAGAAGGCATTCTTATCTTGCAATATGTGAGGGCAATGTGGCCCTCTGTGATGTGCCATTTCCCAGAATACAGAAGCTGGGGATATTTCTTAACTGTTAAACTCTGAGGTTTAGTCAAGTTTCAACATTCTCACCCCCTCACCTTCTAGTAGATCTCAGCTGGTGAAGGAGTTTAGAGTTTGCAGTAGGTAAAGAGGCAGAGCTGTATAACTTGGAAAAGTTACTAAAGTGATTTTGATTACACTGTCTTTCAAATCAAAATCACTTATCTATTTAATAAGTTCCTTAAAGTCAGCAATTATATAGTTATATCACTTTGTAACACTGGAAGAGTTAGTTAATTTCTCTCACCATCCCTCTCCTACTCAGCAAAATTAGGAAGTTGCAGACACATACAAGAATGTTCATTGTATTTTTATTTATAAAACCAAAAGACTGAAAACAACCTAAATATACACCAATGGGAGAATGAATGAATAAAATAATTTATGGTCTACTATGGCAGTTTAAATAATTTGTTGTACACACATTATCACAAATACATCTTAAATATAACACGTTAAGAAAGAAAATCAGAGAATGATACCAACAGTGCATTATGTATGGAACTTTAAACTCACAATATAGAAACAATACTATGTATAATGAATGCATATATACATGCAACCATTTTTAAAAATGGAGAGAGTTGGGCTGGTCCAATCCCTGCCACTAGCCACATGTGGTTATTGAGTGGTTGGAATACAGCCAATCTGAATAGAGATGTGCTGTGAGTGTAAGTAACACACTAAAAAATGGTAACAATAGCTCATTAACACTTTCTAAATGTTGACTGTCTGAAGAAATAATATTTTGGATATATTAGATTATATAAAATAATTATTAAAATTAATTCCACTTGTTTCTTTTTACTACAAAAATGTAATTAACTTCTTATGTTTGTTTCAAAATGCCTTTATTGAAATAAGAATTAATATGTCACACAATTCTCTCATTTACATTGTACAATTTAATATTGTTTTTATATGTTCACTGGGTTGTACAATAATTGCTACAATAAATTTAGAACATTTCATTACCCTGAAAGAAGCCTGTTCCCATTACCAGTCAGGCAATCGCAAGTCTACTTTTTGTCCCTAAGGATGTACTTATAGATTGTCATTTTATAGAAATGAAATCATACGACATGCGGTCTTCTGTCACTGGCCCACTTAGCATAATGTTTTCTTTTTCTCTTTAAAAAAAAATATGAAATGTTTCATGAATTTGTGTGTCATTTTTGCATAGGAGCCATGCTAATCTTCTCTGTATTATTCCACTTTTGGTTTAATTTTTGATTTTGGAATAGTTCTACGTTTACAGAAAAATTGCAGACCGTACAGGGAGCACTTGCAGTGATACTCAGTTTCAGATAGCACTTGCAGTGATATTAGTTTCCCCTGCTATTAACATCTTACATCAGTATGGTGCATTTGCCACAATTCATGAACCAATTGTTTACACTGTTACTTAAATTCCTACTTTAATTTTTACATAATTGTACGTATTGATGGAATACACAGTAGCATTTTGATATATATAATGTACAATGATCAGATCAAAGTGATTAGTATATCCATCCTCCAAAACATCATTTCTTTGTGCTTGGAATATTCAGTATCCCCCCTTTAGCTATTGAAAACTATATATTATTACAAACTATAGTTATCATACAGTGGTATAGAATACTAGAATTTATTGCTCCCACCTAACTGAAATTTGGTGTTTAACAAATATTATCCTATCCCCCCCTTTCTCCCTATTCTTGCCAGCCTCTAGTATTCTCTGTTCTACTTTTTTAGCTTCCACATACGAGTGAGAACATGCGGTGTTTAATTTTCTGTTCCTGTCTTATTTTAAATGTGGCTACTAGACATTTAAAATTACATATGTGCCTCCCATTATATTTCTGGTGGACAGTGCTGAACTAGAAGTTTACATCCCAAACATCCCAGATAACGCTTGCAGTGATATTTAAAGGAACTTTTAGTCATGAGTAATGTTGAATGCATTAAAGAAAATAGACTAGGAGCAAATATGACAAAAATGTTAACAGTTGTTAATTCTGAACTATGATAGTAGAGATAATTGTTACAATATTTGTCATGTATTTTTTATTTCTCAAAAAAGAAAAAAGTCTCCAAAAACTTGAATTATCTCCCACTCTTATGGTTGACTAAATAAAATGAGCGGTGAACTGGAATTTATTAAAAACTAGCCATGTAGGTTGGGCGTGGTGGCCCATACCTGTAATCCAGCACTTTGGGAGGCCAAGGCAGATAAAATCACTTGAGCCCAGAAGTTTGAGATCAGCCTTGGCAACATGGTGAAATCCCATCTCTACAAAAATAATAAATAAATAAGTAAAATAACTTGGTGTGGTGACGTGTGCCTATAGTCCCAGCTAGTTGGGAGTAGGTGGGAGGATTCCTGGAGCCTAGTAAGTCAAGGCTACAGTGAGCCACGATTATGCCACTGTACTCCAGCTTGAGTGACAGAGTGAGATCATGTCTCCAAAAACAAAATAAAAACAAAAGCAAAAAACTAGCCATATAGCTTTATTCACCTAATTTTTCTGTGCCTCGCTTTTCTTTTCTCCAAAATGAGTACTTGAAAGGAATCTTCAAGATCCTGCCAGCTCTCAGAGAAACCTAATTTGTTCTTTATCATATCATTTTGGAGGTCTGGCATAGTAAATAGTAATAAATATTGTAAAAACACTTGTATTTATCAAAATAAATGTTTCTAGTATTGGTGATGACATTGGCATACATTATTCCATGTAATTAATCTGAAGATAGTTGTTTTAGAAATTTGGTATAATTTTAAATTAATCACCATGAATATCCTGGGCTTGTTTTAATTTATTTTTCTGTTTCTATTAAAACATTTGCCTTTATCACACATCAGGGAACTCAGTACAACAACAGACGTTTATGCAGAATTTGATGATCTATGTTGTTAAGATGTATAATGTAGGTGATATTAGTAGTACATGGGAGTAATTATATTTTAGCCCATCAGAACAATGAAAAAGGCCTTCTGTTGACTCTCCATAAAGTATTACAGCATGAATAAACATTTAAAAATATGTTTAAAACATATATTTACTAAGAAATAAAGCATAAATAGTAATGTGGTCCATTACTAATTTTAAACTTTCAAAATGCAAGTAAATTCTCCTCATAAGTAATTTTTTTTTTTTTTTAGACAAAGTTTTGCTCTAGTTGCCCAAGCTGGAGTACAGTGGTGTGATCTCAGCTCACTGCCACCTCTGCCTCCTGGGTTCAAGGAATTTTCCTACCTCAGCCTCCCAAGTAGCTGGGATTATATGCACGTGCCAACATACCCAGCTAATTTTTTGTATTTTTAGTAGAAAAGGGGTTTCACCTTGTTAGCCAGGCTGCTCTTAAACTCCTGACCTCAGGTGATCTGCCTGCCTTGGCCTCCCAAAATGCTGGAATTACAGATAGGAGCCACTGCGCCAGGCTGTAATATCTTTATTCAAAATATACCCTTCCCAAAGCTACTAGTCATAGCTACATGCTTAAATGTGGGAGAGAAAAAGTGACTTATCTTAGTTCTTTTGGGTTTTTTTCTGTATATATCCAAAAATCATCATCTTCTCATTTTATATTTTCTTTTCTGTATAATGAGTATTTGCTTTGGTGGCAATGGGTGACTTCTAAGATATGCAAATGTGAAAGCTAGACAAAAATAGGAAACTTAGATGAAGTTAACCTAATAGTAATTTTTATCAAAATATATTCAAAGGAGACTTTATCAGGTAAGATAGAGAATCTATACTCTCTGGGCAGATTACACAGAAAATAAATAATCATCATTTGTTAAGAGTTATAAAATTAATTTATAGTTTTAACAGATTAAAATCAAATTCTAGGCATTTTGCAAACACATTTAGCCGGAAGAATACACAGAAATTTTTCTTATGGATAAACCCATCGTAACCAAGCCATCTTTGATAAAATTTTAACAGCATTTACTGCTTTCTTTCCAGGCTGAAGTATTATAAAGCAAGAGAAATAAATGATTCGTCCTTTCTGCAGACCTTCTACACCTTTCTGTAACTGTTCATTGTTTGTATTTTTCTATCATCTTTAGGTTTCACATTCTGGAACAGCCAGAACTTTAAGACAAGATTCTTCTTTTTTTTTATATAAATGAAAGTGCATTCCATTATGTACTTGGCCACCATATTAATATTTCTATGTCATTATTGTTCACAGTATAGCCTCAAAATTCTTATTAGTGATAACTTTATCAAAGTCACTGTCAGTCTATTTGTGTTGCTATGAAGGAATACCTGAGGCTGGGCAGTTTATGAAGAAAAGAGTTTTGTTTATTCGGCTTATAGTTCTGCAGACTGTACAGGAAGCATGATGCCAGCATCTGCGTTGCTTCTGGTGAGGTCCTCAGGCTGCTTCCATTCATAGTAGAAGGTGAAGGGGAGCTGGAGTGTGCAGAGATCACATGAAGACAGAGGAGGCAAGAAAGAGGGGAGCAGACACCACAGTCTTTTCAGTAACCAGCTCTAGCAGGAACCAATAGTAAGAACTCACTTATCCCTTTCACCCTGAGGGTGTTAATCTATTCATGAGGAATCTCCTCTCAAAACCCAAACACCTCCCACTAGGACCCATCTCCAACATTCAGGATCAATTTAAACAATATCTAAACATAGCTATATCTTGAAACATAGATTATTAAGCATAATTTTAAGTATATAGCTATATTTAGAAATTACCTGAATGTCCATTAGTTATTTTTTACTTAACATTTGTCTAAGGTTTTAAGTCATCTAGCAATCTTAGATATTATATTCAACCTGATACTCTAAAATATGTCATATTTATGTCATCACTAAGTATCACTAAGTATTAGTAATGATATAAAAATTTTTTCACATTAATGTTTCAAATTAATTGAACACAATTTAACATTTTCACAGTCTCTAGTATTATATAGGAGCAACTGTAACTTTTTCTTGATAAATAATCTGTTAAATATAAAGGTCTGATAGACTAGTTTCTTCATGAGACATTAAATCCTAATCTTATAAAATGTACTCTTGTACTCTATGCTGATAAAATTTGGGAATGGATACACAGCTGCATTTGTTTGCTTTTTTAAACCCAAATTATTAAACTAAGGATTGTTAAACTGTAATGTATAAACTCGTATTCTATGTACACATATTTTTAAGCTGACCAGTTTATGGGAAGATCTTTTTTTTCTTGAAAGGCTACCATTTTGAACAATTTTCAAAGTTTAACTTCCGAATTTTCTGTAAATTTTTGAAACATTGTCTCTACAGGTCAATGAGAACAGAGTTCCTCAAATTTAAGGTATATTTTAATCTAACTTATTAAATCTTTTGGAAGTAGAAAAATATTTAATTCTCAAAAACAGGAGTTAGATGTCTTTCTGAAATAGAGACATACCTACATAGAGAGAGCTCACAGTTGTAGCCACAGATCAAAGTAAACATAGAAACAAAAATCCACTGTCCAGATCTCAAAGAGTTGTTCTTTTCCGTAGTGGGTACAAAATTCTTTTATTTTTTTAGAGACAGGGTCTCGCTTTGCCACCCAGGTTGGAATACAGCGATGCTTTCACAGCTCACTGCAGCCTTTACCTCTATGGTTCATGTAGCCCTCTCACCTCAGCCTTTTAAGTAGCTGGTAGCATACTACCATGCCAAACTAAGTTTTATGTTTACTTGTTTTTATTGTCATTTGTTTATTTTTGTTGATTGTTTTCTTTTTGTTGAGATGGGGTCTTGCTATGTTGCCTAGGCTTGTCTCAAACTTCTGGGCTCAAGTGGTCCTCCCACCTTGGCCTCCCAAAGGGCTGGGATTACAGGCAGAAGCCACTGAGTTTGGCACACAATTCTTAATTCATTTGAGCTCATAGACAAACAGACAGAAGACTAACAGGTTGGATTTCATGTTGTTTCTCCTTCCTTTTTTTTTGACAAGTTCTCCCTTTGTTGCCCAGGCTGCTCTCCTGGGCTCAAGTGATCCTCCTGCCTCAGCCTCCCAAACTGCTGGGACTACAGGCATGAGCCACTGCACCTAGCCCCATGTTGTTTCTCATCTAACAGAGATCTACATCATCCATCTAACACAAATCACCAAATGACCAGACCATAAAACTAAACTCCCAATCATTACTGCCATCAAATAGCAAATAATTTCTCACTGTGAGTGATCAGGACAAAAGCAAAACCACAAAATGAATAGAAAGTAGAAGGAAAGCCTAGAGAGACAGCAAATTTAAACCTCTGTG